GCGGGCCGATCACTGTGGCGGTGGATCTGCGCTCGATGGATGCGTTTGCTGACGCGCTGAACGTGACGGTGCGCCACTGCGTGCTTGAGGGCGGTGCGCAGCTGCGGATTGGCGGCCTCAGCGAGAGCACGGCGCGCCCGATGCCGCACGCCCTCGTCAACATGACGAATGTGACGTCGCTGGAGGGCACGATCGTGCTGCATGGCGCGATGCCGCTGCACTCGAGTGTGCTGCTGGCGAACTCAACGCTGCGTGCGACGGTTGGCGGGTCGCAGTACGTGCAGACTACCCGTGGCCACGAGGGATCCCGGCACGGCCCCGCACTAGTTCTGGACGGCGTCCGGCTTCTGTCGACGCGGTTTGTCATGACGCGGTCTACACTGGTGTGCGGCGGGGAATCGTGCGCTGCGATCCTCGTGGAGCGCGGCCTTGGCGCGAACATGTCCAGCGTCTTCTACATGGACAACTGCGCTGTCCTGTCGCGGACGCACGTGATGTACGCCCTTGCGTCGGACCTGCGTGTCAGCGGCGGCTCCGTGTTCTCCATACAGAACAGCTCGTGGAGTGCGCCGAGCATTGGCTTCTACGAAGGTGCTTTTGTTTTCAAGGACGTTGTGGTGGATGGCGGCAGCGTGCTGCAGATTGTGTTCAGCACTTTCCGTCTCGGCTTCGCCATGCTCATTGCAAACACGCTGACCGTGACTGGCGGTAGCTGGCTGGTGCACCGCGACAACGAGTTCCGCACCGCCTACGTTGTGTACGTGGAAAACGAGAATGGCGTGGCGTTCCGCGATCGGAGTGTGTGGTCGATACTACACAACTACTTTACGTACGGCTCGTACTCGTCAACCATCGTACGCATGACAAACGGTTGGTCATCACCATTCCACTCTCGTCCGACCATCTACGGCGTGTGCAATGAGGCAATAGGCACTCCTGTGACGGATTACGGAGAAGACCTCAATATTGGGACGCCCGTGACGGTACTGGACTGTGGCGTTTGCACCATGGACGCCGTGTGCTTTCCAGCGAGGACGAGCGGCATCAGTGGCTGTGAGTGTGTGTGCGCTGCTGGCGGCTACGGTGACACTTGTCTGCCAGCTGCGGTTCCGGACGGCCTTGGGCCGCTCCCGTTCCCCGATGCGGACGACACGGAGGTTCGCTGCGTGCACGGTGGCAGCATCAGCTCCGTGGACTATCCTGATCCCGGTGTGCGTGGTCTGTGCTTCGTCAACGTGACCTTCACTGCCGCGATCGTTCTGGACCTGTCGCGTTTTGCTGCACCACAACAAACACTCAACATCACGCTACTGCAGTGCGTCCTCATGGGCCTGTCGGTCAGGGGGAGTGATGCGCGCGTGCACGTGAGCGTGGTCTCCTCGATGATGGATTCTGGTGAGTTAGAGTTCAGGGGTGATTTTGGCGCGAGCTCCCAGATACTGGTGGTGGGCAGTACGCTTGTGATGGCCACGCGCCACGCCACTCAATTCCGGAGGTTTTCCCTTGGTGCGAACTCGTCACTGCTGTTACTTGACAACCTCATTGAGGGGAAAGGTTACGCAGTCTATTTACCCTTTGTTTGTCTTGATGGTGGCGGGATCATTATAAAGGGAAACAAGCTGAGAGGAGCGGAGGAGGAATTTCCGTTGGAATCTGCTGTTTTGTTTGAATCTGCCGTTTTGAAGAATGGCGGCTACTTTGACTTCGAGAACAACACGATGAGCGCAGCCAGTGGCATTTATTTTTATGGGGATACCACCGTGAGCTCTGCGGGACTGCTGCGAGTGGTGGACTGCAAGTTTGTTGGCAGCGCGGAGGGTTTTGAACCCGCCCTGGTGCATTTGGACGTCACTGTGATCCTCCAGGGTGGTGCGCAGTGGCGTGTGGAGGGCAACAACGTGAGTGCAGCCTCAGTAATAGGTATGCCTAATTCCTTGTACAAAATTAAGCTGTCGGGCAGTGGCACCACCGTGGTGCTTGCAAACAACCGTCAGGTGGACGATAGTTATCCCTTTGCTGATATGGCTCCGTGGAGCACGGTTGTGAGGCCATCCGCGCGTTTTGTGGTTGGGTGTAACCTGCAGGATGATGAGGAGGTGTCGTACGACGGCGCGTTTCCGGTGGAAGTGGTGGTGTTCAGGTGTGGCACATGCAACGATGACGCGGCGTGCTACATGCCCGGGACGGAGTCGGTGGACCGCGGCTCGTGCTCGTGCAGCTGCAAGGACGGATGGCATGGCGCGTCGTGTCTTCCTTTCGAGGTGCCCGACACTGTTGTGCCGCCCTTGCCGGAGAGAGCCGTTGACGGCGACACGAGCTGCGTGGCGAACCAGACGCTGACGGACCTCACGCTGAACATGTGGAAGACGCACCACTGCTACGTGGGTGTGGCATTCAGCGGCGTGGGTGCTGTGCTGACATTTTCCTTCGACAGTATGCCGCTGCAGCTCCCCATCAACATCACGTTCACTGAATGCACATTTCGTGAGGGTGCCGTGCTGCAGTTTGTTGGGGGCACTGAGGCGGCCGAGTCATCCGGCGTCCTTATCCGCGTGAGCCAGACGGTGATGCGGTCCTCCGTTGTTGTGTTTGCGCTTGCCCTCCCGCAACACTGCGATATCGCCGTCACGGAGGTTGCCGCGGAGCAGACCTTTGAGGTCCAGCTGCCGGACATTATGAGCAGCATGCTGAGCGTTGTGATGCTGCAGAAAGTCGTCCTGGGTGCGTCCTCGCTGTTGGTCAGCAACGTCAAGGCGCATGCATCGAGGTATGGTGGGTTTGGTTTGTACTCGACTGGGACGCTGACACTGGTGGGTGGCAGCTCGCTGTATGCGCGTTACTGCAGCTTTGATGGATACACGCACATGTTGCACATGTACAGGCTCAGTGTGAGTGACCGCTCCGTTTTTGCGCTGCTCAACAATACAATGTCCTCTGCGACAAGCCTCCTGTACCAGCACCACAGATTCAGCGTGTCGGAACATAGCGTGTTGCGCGTGGTGGGGAACAGCGGTATCGTGGCCTGCGCCATCTACGCAGAAGAATTGTGGACCGTCCAGCGGTCAAGCTGGCTGGATTGGCGCGACAACGACGTGGGAGTGGGTGCGATGTTTCACGACACTGGGTCCGCTTTTGTGAGCATCGACAGCAGCAGTGTGGTGACGCTGACGGGCTGCAGGATGGGCTCGACGGGGTTGTCGAGGCCTCTGCTATCGCAGGCTGACGCCGGCTACCGGTTCTTTGCTGGGTGTCTGACGGTTCTTGGACGAGTTTTGACGACGACGGGAGAACTGGAGCTGAGCGGCATCACCAACGTGACGACGGTTGCTGCGTGTAGGGATTGCACGAAGGACGGCGACTGCTTTGCTCCGCTGACGACAGCGGTCATTGACTGCAGGTGCCGGTGCGCTGCTGGAGGGCACGGCGATGTGTGTGTCCCGGCGCCTGTGCCTGCTGGCCCGCCGCCACCGCCACCACCGCCGTCGCCACTGCTACCGCCACCGCCGCCGATTGGTGAGTGCATCAGCGACATGGTGTACCCCGAGTTTGCGCAGTCTGTGGGCAGCGGGCTGTCGTGGCTGTGTTACCGCAACGTGACGTTCAGCGGGGGCGGTATGAGCCTGACGGTGCTGATTGGTGCGATGACGGGCGACGTGGCGAACGTCACGTTCGATGGATGCACGTGGAGGGACGGTGCCGTGCTGTTGCTGTTGGGCAACGCGTACGCCGCTTTGGGGTCGCTGAACATCGTCGTCACCGGCAACACATTCAGTGACGCGCTGCTCAGCCCGGAGGGTGGGTTTCCACCGCGCACGAACATCACGATCAGCGGGAACCGCTTCACGGTCACGAGAATGATCCCTAGGCTGGGTTTGGGCCTTAGGAAGCCGTCGTGTGTTGCGATGAATGAGCTGGCGATCAGCAACTACTCTGCGGTGGTGCTCAGTGGCAATGCGTTTCAGACCATTACGACATCGTCAAGCGCCATTCAAGTTGTCAAGTATGCGCTGAGGGTGACGTGGCACTCTGTTTTTGCGGTGTTGGGCAACACGTTTCATATGGCTGGTGGCGAGGGCACACCGATACATCTTGAAGGTTATGCCGAATCCTTGTCACTGTTTGTACTGAACAGCTCTGCTGTGGTGGTCCGAGGCAATCTTGTGTCGAGCCTGGTGCAGTACGTCATCATATTTGTTTGGGTTTTTTGTGTGGAGTCTCGGTCAGCGGTTGTTTTTCGGGACAACGACATGCAAGGAAGCTCGGCGGTTTTTTTTTCAAGCCATTCTTCCCATATTTACTACAACTCCTGGCTGCAGTTGAGCGGCAACCTCTGCCGCGTGTCCCCGGTAGGTGCTTTTGCTGTTTTGAATCCCACAGTGAATCTCCGCGACTCCATGGTGTCCGTGTCCGGCAACCAGTTCATGTCCAGCAAGGGCACGCACAC